AGAAGATATATCAAACTCTTACACTCTCACTACTGAAAAACTATTTAATACATCATGTGTAATTTCTCAGTGACAGATTTTAGGGTGCTGCTATGTTCTATAATATGTTAGCTGGCTGGGTGAATAGTCTCCTCAGCCTTTAAATGTGATAAAACTTCTTAAAACTGCACCTGCTGCTACATAGATCTCACCCTGAAATTACCTACAGTTACTGAATGACAGAGGTGCTTTACCAGCTGAGAGGCAGGGAGCTAAACCATACTAAATGGACCTTGACAGTCTCCTGTGCACAGCATCCTGTGTGGGGTGATTACAGGTAGTTACGGTAACAGAAAGTCACCCTGTTAAAGTTCCCTTGAGCAAGAATTGGGCCGATCCAGTGCAGTGTTGGGCTTCTTTCCTGTGGTACAGCAGTATTTTGTCTCAGGGGAGAGCTAAAAAATGGCAAAATCCTAAAAACATACTGTGGCGCTCTGAATTTCCTCTTAAAAATTCCCTTTCTTGGCACATAGTGACTCCAAAGATAATTATAGTTGGGCGGAAATGTACGCCAGTGTTCGAACCCCTTTTATTATGCACACAAAGATCCTGACAGTGTGACACTTTGTTTCACAGAGCTGAGACTGAACAAAGAGCACTCTATGGAACACATAGAAACACTGGGCCAGGAACCATCATCTCCACCACCATCTATAATATAAGCACACACTACCCAACACCCACTGCAGCAAAGGGAAAATTCTGCATCTACAATCTCCTTTTTTCAACTGCTCCAATAAAATTACAATTTATCTTTTTATTCATAAGCCATATGCTACTGTACAGTAGATAATTTACTGCTGACACTAACATATTAGACAATAAGTTAAATATCAGATTTACATGCTAAGGATGTTTTTAGGTAAGCAGGAAAAGAAATTTAAAGACACTTTCCATTCTCTTAGCATCCTACTGATCCCATAACCAAAGTGTTATCACCAAACTCACAAGAAAGGATAAGAAAAATCTCAGCTACCGGTATTACTTTCTAAATATAGTCAAGCCTTAGACTAACAATATCTCATTAGTTTTGAAATGCCACTGCACTATAAATACAAAACTGCTGATATCTTTTATGGGAAATTATACTTCAGATGCTATGTGCTGTATGCATGCTATATTAGTTCATGAGATTACAGATAGTGCCGTACGGCTTGGAACAGACTGAATGCTGGTGCAAGCTGTCACACAATCTGAATAACGACCTTAAATTCTTAAACACTACCCACACATGACATTTTGTTATTTGCAAAGACATTACAGAGATGCTCTTAAACACTTTTTAAAAACTATTATTTACTGAATGATTAGTACCCTGACACGACTACCTGATTCAGACAGTAAAATGAGTCAGTGAAAGCTGAATGTAGCGCATGTGGCTCACACCATTTTTTTTTTTTTTAAATATCAGGCATTGTTTTTGCATGTGTGAGGGGTTTTTGGTAAGCAAGGTTTCACTTCAATATTGCAAACCCAAAATAAAAACAGAACAATGTTATGATAATATCTAAGCATATGAGTTTGGACTTAGTTTACTTTATCTAAAAATTTACCTCCATGCTTCAAGTTATATTAATTACACATTTTAAGGAGTGCATGTAATATATGTTAGTGTTAACTTTAAATTTAGAAAATGTAATTCCATGGAATGGAGTATCTTTTTCCTCTGGTGTGTCAATAAAACAATACACTCTCCACTTGCAGAAATGAAACATGAATAAGTGAAAATAGATTATCCCAAGGCAGAACAGGACCGTGCTCAGTGTTTGTTATTCTTCTTTGTGCTTTTATTACACCACACTACCTATCTATCCAGGCATTTTCCCCACAGGAATCTGCCTCTCTCCTTTAAACCTGCCTCTAATCATTTCTGTCGCATCCCCAACCTCCTCTCACCCCCTCCTCTTTCTTTACTGGCACTGTTATCGACATGGACCCCTCCCTCCTTCACCTCATCCCTCTATCAGTTTTATCACATCAGCTCTCATCCACCCCAGGAGAACCTTTCTCTCTCTCACACACACTCTCCACCGCCTCCCCACCCATCCCCTTGTGCCCCTGTTAGCGGCCACCAAGGAGGGAGATTTATCACAGCGACCTGGCTGCAAACACTGCCATGCACACGCACGTGCACGTACACACACACACACACACACACACACACTAGCTGAATATAACCAATCTGACAAAGATAAACAAAACCTTGAAGCGCACTTAGGAGAATGTGCATGGAACAACCTGTTACCACTTCAGTATTCTTTCTAAACATAGCATTTAGTCGAGGCTAAATTAGGTGAGGTCAGCTCGTAAACACAGCAACATCACGTCCCCTAAATAAACCAGCATTGTAAGAAAGTCTTAACCAAAGTAATTACAGCGGGCTACAAGGCGCACTTAAGCGTCCTGCTTTCCCCCTTAATTCGCCCGTATTATCTTTAACACAGCCCCTGCTTTTCCTCTTGAGCTGACTGATGCAAAAACTTACCGTCTCCACGTTTTCCACCGTAAAGTCCAGGGCGTCCGGTGTGGCTGCTATTCTCCCCGGTGTCTCCATATCTCCGCTGATACGGAGCTGTCAAATGATCAAAGAGGGGCAACACATTCAGCAGCAGCTTTCGTTAAACTTTCCCCCGCAAAGTGTGTAATTTCCATAATAATTCCGCAACAGCAATGAGCATGTTTAGGTTAGGTTTACGATATGATTAATTGTAGTCATAAAGATGACATGAGGGGCTAACCGGCAAGCTAACATTAGCTCTTCTAGCTGTCGCTAACCTCCACTATGTAAGAATACTACAGCGATTGCTAGCGTCACTGTGCTAGCACGAAACTAGCTAACGTAGCAATGTAACTTGACGCAACCCTAGTGTCAAATTCAACCAAGCGAGACGGCGACGCTGGTATTTTCCGAGTGACAGTTTTATCATAACAATCTCATCTCAGTGTGTTATCGCCAGTCTATCTGGTGGACCAGTATTTTCACACCTTTCTGTCCTGCGACGGTCTGAGACGATGCTGGCAGCTCCCCGCCGCTCTTCTGCCTCTGCTCCGTCACCAGTAGCCTTTGCTACGTTCACGTGTTGTTGGAAATATCGTAATCGCAGCGTAACCAATGAACAAGGCAAATGAAACAGCGATTTTGTAAAATTCCCATAATACTAAATGCACAGGATATGTATACGTTACTGCAAAGAGTGAATTTTGCTATTATAATCTATTAGTTAGTTATATATTATCAGTCTTACTAAACTGTTTGCGTCATCACAATGTTAAATTATGTAAATCGTCCAGAGTTGCCCTTTTGAAGCCATTAACATTAAATGCGACAGTTTCCTCCCTAAATAGATTGCGAGTGATGGAATACACATCTATGTACACATACTACACATACTACCAATACTACTACTACTACTACTAACAATAATAATAATAATAATAATAATAATAATAATAATAATAATAACAGCCCACAGTTACCTTAATTTAAATATACCGATACTGTTGCAGAGCCAAACATTTACACTCACACCAGGCAATTCAGAATCACCAATTAACCTAAATGCATGCACTTCTTTGCAGGGAAGTTGGGGTATCAGATAGAACATACAAACTCCATACAGAAAGGCCCAGGACTGTATTTCAATAGACAATCTTCAGCATCACCATGCCACGCTGTGTTTTCAAATACATCTTAATCTTTAGGTTTTCAAGCAAGTTGTGCTTTTTAAACAATGGCTTTATTTCTTTTACTGAACTTGGCTTGCAAATCCATTCATTCACCCATCTATTCATTTTCTTCCTTTATCCATTCCAGGGCTGCAGCTGGTTGGAGCCTATCCCAGCTATCATATTAGGTTTATTATTTTATATGCAAATAAAATATATAATAGACCAATATATCCTTTTTAAAGTGCATATCGTATAAATTTCTCCTGGACAAAATGATAACCACACATCACTGTCAACAGACAACTATTTAAAACATATATATATAGTGTGCAAACAGTAATAAAAACAAAGCCATCCAATTCAACTGAAGAAAATTGCAGTTAAAATTGAATCAGGAGTTGTAGGACATCAATGACTCACAAGTCTAATCTTATTTAAACCAGTGAATCAGCAGTAGAGTTGAGAGCCCTAACCCAGCCCTAACAACCCTCTGTGTATATGTTTACTATTCTTCATTCCACCCCCAAAACAGTTTAATATCTTAGTATAATTCTATATCTACATGAAATGTGTGAGACAAATGGCTTTCAGTTTATCAGTCTAACTAGAGCAGTGTGTTGCAGTTTACAGTTTGGCCTGTTATAAGAATCAACTTTAAAGCAACAGCGCCCCCATGTGGACGAGAGAAAAACTTCCATCATGCCTTAAAAATCACGAGAAGCGAGAACGTTCTTATTTTTTATTCCGCTTTAGCATAAAAGTTATAAACCCAAAAGAACGAGTGAAGCTTTTTTAAAATGTTGCATAGCTGAATCCTTAGTGAGTAAATGATTTAACATAGTCCCAGTTTAAACATTGATTTGTTGCAGATTTAAAGGCGTCAATAAGTCAAACATTACGAAAACCTATTATTTAAAAAAAGAGAGAAAAAACTGGAGTAATACATATTATATAGCCAGTGCAATATTACTAATGCATCACAGGCATTTGAGGAAGTAATTTATTTGTTAACGTTATTTTTAAATTAGGTATGAATGGAGAGGAAAAAACAGGACAGAAGAAAAACAACGTTAAAGTTCGTTGAAGTGAGTAATATGGAGCTTAAATATTAACTATAAATAGCAATGTAACAGATCTTTAATACATTTGTGATTTGTGTGGCTCGTGTTTGCGTCGTCGTTGCCTTGTGCGTCTGTGCGTCACAGACTCGCTGACTATTTTGAACCAAGAACACGTGGCACTGGTTCTGGAGAGAGAGAGAGAGAGAGAGAGAGAGAGAGAGTACACACCACACCACACACTCCTCCCTCAACTTTGTCCCTCCAGCCACGCACACACTGTTAGAGCTACTGTTTCTCCGCCGCGGTTAGGACACTAAAGCGGCCTCGGGTTTTTAAACTGTTTTGTGAAAGTCTGCAGTCCGACTGTGGACAAAAGCGAGTCCTGGGCGAAGAAGAGGAGAGGAAACCACGCTTGTGTAGTGATTTTATTACTGCGTCGCCACAGGACACAGATGATGGAGACCAAACTCTGGATTGCCCTTTGCGCGCTTCTAGCGATTTACTTGGGATCCGCTGTACACGGTAGGAGGCAGTTTATTTCTGTATACTACGTGCCCGAACTTTATGCTTACAGCGCCTAAAAAGTAAACATAGTCTTTCACGCCAAACTCACCTGCTGACACTTGTGATGTTGTTAGAGTGGGGATTAGTGGCATTATTAGTCATGTCTGTCCGGCTTTAAAATGACAAAACTCATCTGGGTTTAAATGATGAAGTCAGTGTTGTTGTTTTGTTTTCATTTTACGCAACAAAGAACTCGCTTTTACACTGAGCAGATTTATTTTAAAAATTCTACTCCACATCTTCGCCTCTACTTTTTGTTCAAGCAAGCCACATTTTATCTCGCACATCACTTCCTCCCTTGCTCCCTCTCCCCTTCTTCCTCTTTCTGCTTGCATTACATTAACTCACCTCTCACACATCCTGTCTTTCACTCTTAACCCACCTTCTGTTTTTTTGCCCCCTCCTACCTTTTCTCTCTTCCTCCGGCCTTCTCTTTTCTTTCTTCCATCACCACCTCTCACATAAAAGGACAATGAGACTGTTGACATTTGAAAAGATTTTATTGGGCTGAACTGTCCCTTCAGCTCCTCGAGCTGAAATTCAAATGAATAGGAAACAGCACGGCTCCACTGGAGAACATTTATTGGCTGTAAATTAGCAGGAAAAGTACATTGTGATAAATGACACCTCTAATTATGTGCAGCAGCACACTGTCATTTTACTGGGTTCCTACTAATTGGCTCGCCTCTGCAGTACACTATGCAGACTTTATGAAGAGATTTTAAGCGGTTCAGTGGTAACAGGTTCAGTTTTTACTGTATGCATTAAACACAATGAAGGGGATGATGGCAGGTTATTAGCATTCACCATAAAAAAAGCCCCGTGAGTTTTCATAGCAAAGAAGCAAAGAATATGAGCAATGCTGCACTCATATAGCCTTCTTTTGTAACCAATCAATCAGATCTTTTCTCCTGTGGAAAACACAAGTTTTAAATCCATAAGAGTAACATAGACAGACTATTTAAAATTAGATCAGAAGTAAGAATATTTTCAGTAACTGACATCATGCTTCAGCCAGCATACCTATGTAATAATATGCACACAGTATAACAGAGCTGGGTTTAAGTTTCATTTCTATGGTGTCATATTTACTCAGGAAAAGAACTACAGATAGAGCATCTTATGAAGCAGAACTGTGATACAAGTTGAAGCTCTCTCGGTGCCTGGTTTCAAAAAGGCTGTTTTTAATAGCTTCCATTTACAAGAAATCCCTATGTTTCATTTCATTGAGCTTAATTTTTCATTCTAATAAATTCCCTGAGCTGGATAATTATTAAGTTTTACTGGGAGGGTTTTTTATGGTGCAAATTAGTTTAGGACAGAAGTTTTTGCCTGCGGTGTGTAACATGCATGCTCCAGGTAAGTTCGCTATCATAAAAAATAACAGAACACCTATAGTTAGTTTAGACTCTCACATGTGGTCTATTGAATGAGAACGACAGCCAAAAACATGGTAGGCAGTTTGAGTGCAGCATGTGCATAGCTGTTTGTTTTTAGCTCTTTCAGTTTCACTTAATAAAAAGCTCACTTCAGCAGTATTGGCTCAAATGTCACCAGAACCACTTGCTGAGAAAACAGAGCTTATGATGTGTCTCAGACAGACTGTATCGCAGTATATTTTTGTAGCAGTGCTGCAGCAGCAGACATCTGTTCACAGAGAAACTTTTGGCTGTTTCTCTCGCTGGTAGGGTCAACAAATGGGCAAAAGCTATCTCCCCAGGTACATGCTGCATTGGCCTGAAAGATTGTGAGTAAGCCCTTGTAATATCTAAAAAGGGGCGTGTGCAATGGTGGAAACAGTGACTCTCTTCATGATTTTACCCTGCACACAAATGCATGTACAAAAACAGACATAGCCTACTAGACGAGACCTAGGAAGCTCGCTAATGGAGCTAAAGTGAGGGAACAAGGCCAGTATTATACAGCCAAGCACCTCTGTCTATTTATGAGTGTGTCTGTTTTGGTATCATTTAGTTCACACAACTCTCTCTTTCTCTGGGTCTGTCTGTGTCTCACTGCCTCACTCTCTCACTGTGTTTACTGATGAGCTGTGTGACTGATTATGGCAGTAATGAAAGGTATCAGGGCAGTGTGTTATGGAACGGTAATGACTTTACATTACATTAGTGCTCTGGTCTTCATCAAAGGAGGGGAGAAACTGAAATGGAGCCTTGTACAGTAGAGATAAATGTGTCAGCACAGAGGGGGAAAAGAGAGTGCAAAAGACTGAAGGTCTTCATTAGTTCACACAACTTATATGGCTTGTAGTTGAAAGTGGCAGTCAAACTGTGTCTATTTTTTTTTCCCGTGCGGCATTGTGACTGTGCACTTTAGTTAGCAATTCACGACCTATAGGTTAGAGTTCATAAAAGGATGCAAGGTTAAACTTGAGTTGGTAAAACACTTTTTAAAAATAGATATATACTTTTATTATGGATGGTTTTTGTCATATCAGCCTTCTAAAGATGTCTCCCAAAAGGGAACATCACACACTGGCTAAGCTAATCACATCTCTACAGGTCACAAGTAGGTTTACTTTGATTTACTTCAAAAGGTCACATGCGAAAAATGGTTGGGAATTTATGGCTCCTGATGCAAAAGAAACTCTGGACTTGCAAAACAAATACAACTTGATATCCTAAAAAGTCGACTCTGTTCGTCTGGATGTAGCGTTTTCGGTGGGAGAAACGTTTCGTCACTCATCCAAATGACTTTTTCATTCTCACTGAGACTGAAAATGCTACATCCAGATGAACAGAATCAACTTCTTGGGATTTCCTTACCTGGATGATTCTCTTTCCAAATTCTTTAGCCAGACACTAAAACCTTGTTTGATCCAGGGAAGCTGTTCGATAATTGTTGTGATGATTTTGAGGCTTTACTCAGGACAGATACATTTACATATAAAGCACTATGCAAACGTTTGGGGCTCTTTAGACTTTTGGATTCCAGCAGTAACACGAGAGGGCATCTGATGGGTTTTATCCCAGACGTATAATAAGATTTTTAAATTGCAACCTGCTGCAACGAGATGAACAAATAGTTTTGGAGCGGATGTTGCAACCCCCGCAAATCTCTGATCTCAAGTAAGCAGACGTTGTGAAAGCTGAAAAACCTCCCTGCCAAAAGCCAACAACTGGGGTCATGCGGAAACTTTTCAGTTTATATTTCGATCGTGTAAACAATATAAAGAAAGTTATTTACGAAAAAAGAGAATTAATACTGTAAAAAATTAAGCGAAATACACTCCAACATTGCTCCATTTTTTTGATTTAGTTTACATATTGAAAAGAAGTGAGAAGACATGCACACTTATTCAATAAATGAATGAATAATAATGTCATTTATTCAAAAATGTATTCATGCCATTATCACTTGTTAATACCTTACTGTTGTTGCTTAAAATGTTTGCACAGCTGTATGTGTGCATGTTTTAATTTCAGTATCCATTGTTCGGTTGTTTAAACATTAGCCTGTGTTGACCCTGAGTTGTTACAATGGTTTTGGGGTGTGAACACTACCTGTTGCTACATATGTGTTTGGAATAATGAACAAATAATTTGTGACTTTAAGGATATTAATAAGATGACACATTTGCTTCTGTCCTTACTTCTTCAGCTGATGGGCATACTCCTACCCCTTCTTCAAAAACTACTCCTAGTACTGTTCAAGCTACAGGGGCTCCAGTTCTGAACCATGTGTCTAGTTTGGGCCCGGATGCTGCCAATCATTCAGGGAGCAGCCCAGCGACAAACACAAGTTCCAATGGCACAGTCAATGTGAGCAGTAGCACAACTACAGAAAATACAAGGATCACCATCATAGCCGAACCAGGGAAAGATAATGGTAAGCATGCACCTCCAAACTCTTACTCCTGCGCTCACTTACAAAACATGATGGTAGGCTAAAGTGTTTAGGAAGTGGCCTAATATTGCAAACTTGCAACAAACTGATGCGCTGTTGTGGTTATTGTTTCTGTCTGTTTGACATTTGCCAGTACGGGAAGTTTTGTTAGACTTCAGAAGAATTTATAGGAAGCACAACAGCAGGTGGCTCAGAGTTGAGGAGCTATATTTAACAGAGTCCTTATCACCGTTTTCCACGTCCAGAAGTGGGCCACAGGGCTAGTGACAGGGTTTAAGTGTTGACTGTAATTCCACAAACACAACACAGGAAGGGACAGAGAGCTCAGTTAAGACTTTAAAGAAACAGAGTACAGAACAGGAAACGCCACTAAATGCAAAGATGATGCAAAACAGTGAAGAAGAGCAGTGCAAAGAAGCTGTGACTAGCTTAACTGTATAGGAATTGGAGAATAAAGGCAAAATATAGTTGGAGAAGAGCTGAGAAAGAGGTGATTCAGATGCCACTGAGGTGAGAAGTGATTAAATGCTGTGCGACTTTTCACATGGGGGTGAGAAAGAGAAGTGAAATCCTCTCCCCCAAGACAGACATGGATAGCTCTTTCTTTGCCTTTCTCACACACACACACACACACACACACACACACACACACACACACACACACACACACACACACACACATAAGACTTCTAATCAGTAAATCTGTAGGCTGAGTACCTTTTATTAATACGCAATTACTTTTTGTAAAAAAATAGCAATTATTTTCATTTACATGAGTCAGTATTTCTGCAGAATTTAAGCTGGCAGATATCTGTGGTTATATGTTTTCATCAGACATATTTAACTTTTAAGTCATTAGCACTTACCTCAGTAGAGTGGAAGCAAGTGAATTTTCATTTTTAGTGCTTGTAGGTTATACTTAGCATGCTCATGCACGTAATTATATGCTACCACTGTGAATCATAAGTATGGTGTGAATATCTGTAGCTGCTTTCTTGATACACACAGCTGTATATGTCCATAATATTTTAAGAAATATTTTAATTTAACTGACTGTGTCAGCTGCTAATCAATAGATGAACACGAGCTGTTTAAAGTTAAATGAAGACAAAGTAAGGCGCCAAGTGTTAGAGAGCCTCTGTCCTGTAGCTGCACAGACGTAATCAGAAGGGAAAAAACTTAAGTGACACATTTGATTCTGATATCTATTTAATAGCTAATAATTATTCTTGGACAAAATTGCTGTTTACCATTCGTGAAACACAGCTGAAGCTGAAAAGCTTGTTCAAGGTTTTCCCAGAAAGTTGATTCTGTTCATCTTGATGTAGCGTTTTCAGCGGGAGAAAGAATTCGTCACTTGTCCAAGTGGCTTCTTAATTGAGCACGCATCAAGACATTTTAACCCACTTTGGCAGGTACTGCCTAAAGCTAGTGTTGGAGACTGAAGAAGTCACTTGGATGAGTGAAGAAATGTTTCTACCACTGAAAACGCTACATCCAGATGAACAGAATCAACTTTTTGGAATTTCCTTACCCAAATATTGTTCCAGCTTTTGTTTCTTACTCCTGTTTAAAGTATATACTGACCTACTGAACGCAGCAATTACAAAACTGCATGTAATCCAGGATGTTGCTGCCAGAGTTTGAAGAAAAGCAGATCAGATAATTGCTGTTTTACATAATCTACCATTGAAACTGAATTGAAGTCCTTTTAGTTTCAAAAGCACTTACTGGCCTTATCTGCTCCTATAGCGCAGGCCACCTTCTTATTCCACCTACAGTAGCTTGCCATGAAGCTCCTGGTGCACAGTTTTTGTGCTGATGTTAATGTCAGAGGAGGTCTGGAACTACTGAGTCAGCAGAGCGCTGCTGACTTCTATGCCCGTGCTCCTCGGCACTTTTTGATCCCACTTTGTAAATTTACATGGTCTCTCACCTTGTTGTAGTTCTTAAACACTTCCTTTTTGCAAGACATTTCGTAGACTGACTAGCTGTAACAGTGGAATCCTAGTACAAACACTTCCTTTTTGCAAGACATTTCGCAAACTGAGTAGCTGTAACAGTGGCATCCTATTACAATGCCACACTCAAAATCAGAAAGCTCTTTAAAACAACTCATTCTTTAACAAATGTTTGTAAAAGCAAACTGCATGGCTGGGTGCCTGATTTTGTCCACCTGTGACAGTGGGACAGAAGACATCTGCTCAGCACTTTTCTCCATATAACGTGCCACAATATGATCTTACAAATAGCTTAAAATCCACACTTTTTAAGTAATCATAAGGTTTCTCCATGAAGCTTTTGGGTGCCAGTTTTAGTTATTATAGACCAAGAAGTATGAAGTCTTCTGTCTTTAAATATCACTTTTACCGAGCACTTTTAGCTTTAAAAAAGCAGCATACAGAAAAGGAAAATACATTTTCCTTTTGCATGTGTATATTTAGTTATATTTTAAGAAAAAAATATTCTATTGGAAATAACTTTGAAAGGTGATAAGGTAAATTAATTCACTGATATTTAGCATGTATAATAGATAACATTTGCTTCATATAATAGAAAGCAAGTCTTGTTTAGAGTGATTTATGGTAAACGTTAAATTAAAAATGCTTTCAGCACAAAAGTACAGCCGAGGCTGATGAGAACCGCATTACATTAGCAGATATGTGATGATGGCACCACATAAAAGTTAAACGATCATCAGAGTAATTATATTTTATCCTGTACAAAATTTAATTCCACAGTTCTCAAGAGATTTCACCAGCCACGGTCATTTCATTTCATCAGCCTCAAGCGGTCACTAAAGTTTTCAGGAGACAGCTTCTGAAAAAACCATGAATACCTGAACGGATTTCATGGCAGTCTATCGAAAAGGTGTCAGAGTAGCTGAAAGTCAATTGAACCATCTGTTTTCAGAAGAAATGACCTTAATCCTGGTCCTCTAATCTTTTTTTCTTCGAAAGAAAATACAGTAAAAAAAAAAAACATTTAAAAAATACAATTTTACAGTAATGTGAAACAAATTCATTTATCTCCGGTGTTTTGCTTACATTCAAATATCATTCAGTCTTGTTAAGATATTAGATCTGCTTCTTTAACAGAAGTAGATCTAATTTTCTGATTGAAACCATATGCTTCACCATTATGGATTACAGTAAGAGGATTTATCTGCATATCTCTGTCTCCACCCTTAAGCCCTTGGATGAAGTTTATCCTCAGGTTTATATGGATTTTATATGAATAAATTTTATTTGTGTAAAAGGTATTATAGGCATATGTTGTTATATACTGTAAGGCTCTTATTGGCAAGCTGTTGTTTTGCACACTGGTTCTAGAGACTGGTTTAGTTCTTTGGCTATCACTGCAAGCCTTTTAAGTCCATACTGAGCTTGGAAAAACTGATCTTATCTTCTATGTTTAGACCACCTGGAACTCTTCACCGTTTCTCGTAAAAATAAATAAAACCACTTCCTGTGTGAATTGATAGTAATAGTTACTGTTTAGATTATTTTCTGTAATTTTAAATAATCAATATTATTATAAATAAAGGCTAGATTCACTGCTTTTTTTAATTTTACAAAGTAAAATAGGTCAAATTAAATTGGGTGTGCTGGCAGAAATGTAAACACAGGAAACTAAAGGCATGACTTGATTTTTTTACCTGATAGTACTACATCATTTTGACAATAACATTGTCTCTCTCTCTCTCTTTCCATAGTAACCGACAACGCCATTAAGACCACATTAGCAAAAAATGAAAACATCACAAATACGACACTTTCCCCTTCTCAGAGCAGCCCCACCACAGCTGTTCCCATTAATATCGGCACCACACACGTACTGCACACTTCTGCAGGTGCACCGGTCACCCCGACTCCCTCATTAAATCAAAACGCATCACACCATGAGACCAAAGCACCCCCTGCTACTTCTGCCCCAGCATCGGAACCAACAAAGCCTGAATCTATCACTAACGCCACCACCACCAAGTCCAACACAAATTCCAGCACCGCCTCCATCCAAAAGCCCTCCACTTCCCAGCCAACGTCAAACACTTCACAGTCCAACAGACAGTCCACCCAGCCTAGCATCCAGACCAGCTCCCACACCAACAACCCATCACAGCTCAACGTGAACGGGGACGGTAAGTGCATAATACCTCCTGTGCTGGTATATGAATTTGTTCTTGACTGTTCACTTCCAGGATATTGACAGAGCCAGAAGTGAATTGGCTTAACAACAAAGGAGATGCTGTTCTTTGTTTCCAGCACAAGCCAGTCTTTGGCTGTACACACAGAGACACAAACACACACCACGCAACCCCCCCGTTTACATCTTCTACAAGCACTGTCACCACCAAGCACTCCACAATCATGGGTTTGTTTGAGAAAGGGACAGAGGCAGTCATGGGACTCTAGCCTCAAGATTTCTGTTTTTCTCCTTTTTGTCTGTCTCCGTCGCTCTATTTACTAAATGATTTATATATGAACAGTTGCTCTCTCTGGGTCCATACAGTCCACACAGGGTTTAGAAACCATTCATTTGAACACGTTGAAAGTACTTTTACCAGACTATAGGTGCAAAGAAATGAATAACTGATTAACTCATCTCAGTTGTCAAGGCTGCTTGACTGCAGTAAAATTCTCTCTGCTTGTCTCACTCTGTGTGGTTTTATTAGGTGCTTGGCACATTGCCTCTTTCCATAAGCCAGAGGAGCAGCAAGCATTCATGACTCTGTGGTTGTTGTTACTTTTGACCAAAGGCTATTAAAAAAACAGCTAACTTTACAAAACAGTCTTCCATAGAAACATTCATATACAGAGATGCCAGAAACGCAGATCTGAAATCCTCCTGCCCAGAAATACTTAGCGGAAAGAAACAACCAAGAAAACGTCAGGCTAGTCTTTGAAATTAAACAATAACCTGGGAGAAAATGGTAACATACTTCATGTGCTGTATACACTGCTCTAGTTAAGTTTGAAAAGGTCTTAAAATGATACCTTAATAATAAAATGACTTGCTGATTTTACTTGTTCACCTTAAGTATCGTTCTGGCAAGTTTAAACATCCTGTTTGACACTTCTGTCCTGAGCTTGATGATGAACACTCAGCAGGCTCATGGAGTGTCTATATATAGTTCTAACCAGAACTTCAAAGTCAAATCCTCCCTAAACGCTGCATTGCCAGCATGTTTACTCAGCATACAGTGTGGTAATAGAAAAATGGCCCCAGCTGATGTGTCTCTGGTGTTTCTTGTCTAGGGACGGCCCAGAACTCTCCTGGATTAGACCCCCTCCTGGCTGGTCTGGTATCAGCCTTCATCGTTGCTGCTGTCATCATCACTCTGCTCCTCTTCCTCAAACTGCGCCGAAGAGGCAACGGGCCGGAGTTCCGCAGGCTGCAGGACCTACCTATGGTGAGCTCACCCATCATATCCAAGCAACACTGGAAAATATTCAGCCTGTCAGATGTTGTTAAGCACAGATGTGTTATGCACTCTTAGTTACAGTTTTCATTTGGCCTGACTGGAGATGTACTTCTGCTGCTGCTCTTCCTAATATAGTTAAAACTCAAAGCGTTTCCTCAGGCTTCTAATATAGGCCTGGGAGTTTGAGGGTTATTTCTAGGCCTTTACGTCTCTGAAACCACACGTTGTGCCTTGAATCTCATGTAGCCACTCTTTGAGTTTGGTGGTTACAGCCCCTAATGCTGCTATTACTACTGGGACCATTTTGGACTTTACCCTCCACAGGGCTTTTCCATTTTCCATTCTTCTCATGCTCATTCTTTCCGATGTTGCTGCTGCGATTACTGGCATCTTTTGTTCCTTGTTAACTACCACTATATCTGGCTGGTTAGCCAGTATCAGCTTGTCTGTCTAGAACTTGGAAGTCTTACAGAACATTTGCTCTCCTGCTCTCAACCGCTTTGGGATGTGCCTCATTGGACATTCTGGGCACAGATGTTCCTGTGCACAATCCCAGACACTTGGCAGTGTCTCTCAGTGTGAGCTGCAATGGCGTGCACCTTCCACCCTTCTACAATATTCGGCCTCTTGGGCTTCTTTGCACAGTCTTCACCTTTGGTCCTCCTGTCTCTGTTGCCTCTGATACTTTTAGCCTGCCATGATTTAAGCCTATGTGCATGTATACACCCCCAGCCCACCCGAGGGCTTTGGTCTCCTCCTTCTGCTGCCCATAACACCCTTTTAGCAGTTTATCTTGCATCTTCCTGAAGGATTCATGAATGCTTTAGTGGCTTCCAAAGTCCAATAGTCCCTCAGACAGGAGTGTTAATAATATGAGCCAATAATAAAGCTATTAAAATGTTATAATTTGCTGCCTTATAACAAAGTGATTCCTGAAGGCAAAAGTGTGAGTATGACTGTGTAAACATAGGTGTAAGCATTTACATCGTTCTTTTTCTTATAGGATGATATGGAGGACACACCTTTGTCCATGTACAGCTACTGATGAAGGCACAATAGGATGTTTGATGTCCAAATACCCTCGCAGATTCCAGAATCAGGCCACTGTGGTTGGTGAAGTTGGTCTCTCTTCCTTAATCTGCACCAAACAGAAAGAATCCTGGGTAGGTGTAAGCACATTTCTGGATTGCTTTAAGTTACCCAGATCATTGGCAAAAGGATCCGATTGAAACTGCAATGGACAATGAAGAAAATATCCATGATGTTGCCTTTTGGATTTTCTTTCTAAATTTGTCTGTTATCACAAGTGTTCCCAATTTTTCATCCATCCATTCATTCATTTGTTCATTACTGTAAACTTTACATTATTCAGCCCATCTAAGGTTGCTGGGGTTGTGTAATATATTTGATTTCTCTAGAATTGAAAATAGGTTGTTTCAAAGCAGAAGATCATCTGACATGGCCATCGACTGAGCCTCTCCTACTGTGGCTCACTGGTTTAATGTTGCTTTACCAGTTAAAGTCTGGCAGAAATAAAGGCCAGCAAGCTAAAGAGAAGAAATAAACAACACAAATCACCTGATTATATTGTTAACAAGGTTGCACTTTACTTTTTTTAGGAGTGGAGATTAAAAAACATAAGTAGAAGAATTTTCTGTGTATTAAAGATAAGGTTTTTGTGTACATAGGCAGCATAGCTGGGTGAACGTTTGTGTGTGCAAGTGTGTTAAAGAGGCATGGGAGGTTTTATTTAACTTCTTTTTTTTTGTTACCTTAATGGTTTTGCTGGCTTTTTTGCCTGATTTTGATATGTGCAGTGTTTTAAGTCCAGGAGAGAGTGCCTTACACAGTACATGAACAGCTTTTAATGTATATTGTTTTCATATTCCACAAAAACTAATTTCCAGATTAAGTAGGCATTCCCAGTAACCATTTAAACACACCCTCTGAGGGCCAAGTGGCTGCTAGGAGTCGTCTGTGTTTGAAGATAAGCCTCAGGCATGTTCACCGTAAGGCACTCTTTCATACAATGACAGACTGATGTGCGTTAGTGGCCTTTCCACACAATGTTTTTCATTTTCCTGTGTATTGTAAATACTACTGATCTGCATCAAGCAAAAGAATACGGATATAAAACACGTGGGGGGAAAAATATAATGGGTGGAAATGTGACAAACAGGACAACTGAATCGCCCACAATGACACAAAACACATTTTAACTACTCTTTATTTAGAAAAAAACCCCCAAAAAACCCATTGTCCACTGATACAAGTTAAATTCTGGTTTAAATCATGCTGATAAGTTTGAGCTACAGCTGTGTTTGTAGTTTAGTATTTGTGCCACCGAAAAGGAAAATGAAAGAAAATTTGTGTCAGGCCATAAAAGATTCAGTGGTCTTTGGCATAAATTCTACACTTCTAATTCTCATCAATCCTCAAACTCATTCCTTTATTTGGTGAGAGTAATGGTTATGCTATAACCATTTAAAAAGATCTAATGTATAAGTCAGTCATCATTTTTAAGTCCTGTATTGTCGGTTTCTGTAAAAACAAATGCCGAATGCTTTTCCTGAGGCTTTGCTGCCAGATGTGAATTACTGGATTGTTGGTGATTTATGATTAAAGATATTTTGAAACCATCCCCTGCATTTCCCTAATTAGCATTTTTGGCTGTGTTGATCCAACTTTTCACTTCAGTACCAAAGAAATCACAATGGAAAACGAGTCTCTTCTTTTAAAACAGACTTTTATTTTTGGAGACAAAACGTAAAACATTTCTTTTACACATCTTGAATAAACGAATCAGTCCTCTGCTTTACTGCAGCCTAACCACACAATACTTGGCAAACACCATAAAATGGCAGTAAAAGGGTCGGATTCATCAGCCATTATGTGGACACAATAACAAATAGATGAGTCTTTTCTTCATTAAATGGCTTACACGACAAAATTAACAACTATACAAAGATAGTGTTTCAGTGGATTGTGAAAAATACGCTATGCTCTGGTTTTTTAGAAGGTATTGTATTGCTCACTACAGACTACTAAGACAATCTGTCTTGTTAGTGAGGTGGACAATGTGTATTTGGTCAATACTGCTGAATGCATGCACCCCACTGAACACCTAACCTGGCTGTCAGCTGCCTGCAGCTCTGCACTGTGGTCTGGGATCCTTGATGGGGGGTGTCTGGAAGCTGAAATATTTAACAGCTTGACACGTAGCCTGGCGCAGTGTGATTCATGTCAGACACTGTAGCAATAAAGGGACCTTCAACTGCCTTGCTGAGTTGTGGGTATATGGAGATCGAAGTGGAGACTGACTGGCACCGGCGCCTTGATAATGGTAATGGCTTTTGATTCCTATTTATTTTATCTCACTTCACTCCTACCTCACTTCAGTTACATTACCAGGAACCAAAATCCCATCCCTCATCAGATTCCTTCTGGACTGAAGAGTGCATTATGCAAGACGAAAAATCCATTAAAAATCCATTACAGTTTCACAGAGAAGACTTACAGTTACTTTTAATACAGAGTCATGACATTCACCAGAACTTTAAACGCAAGAGCCGTCTATAAAATGATCCAAGTCCCAGTTATAAAATACCAACTTAACTCAATCTGAGTATATCACGGTGCTCTAAGCTTGCAAACCAGTGGTGTGCTCTTCAAATCCAAGTGATTAGTTATGTCTCATTATGCATCCCACTGTTGCTAAGGGCAAAGATGCGAGTCCAGCCCAAACCTTAACCACATCAAAGTTTCACCTAACCCCAACAATCTGTAATCATAACAAACCTAAACATAACTATTTTTAATTTTGTCATGCCTAAAGCCAAACTTTGTGGTTTAGCAGACCAATTGCAGCAGTTCTATCCTTAACTCCAGTAGGACCCATAATTTTCTGCCAGTAGCGCGCAACATGCGGGCAGAGGGTGTGGCAACAATTAAAACGTATTCTTTTAGTGCCTCACACTGCAAAAATAATGCACCTTACAAAAGTGCTTCTATACTGACACAAAGCTCCACAATAATGGGAGAAAAAAGGTTTTATATCAAAGGTCATACAAAGAACTATTTTAAAAAAACTGACTGTCACCTCAAGTGGTTCCCAGCATCCTATCAGTCTGCGCATATGGGAACAGAAGATTTTACAATCCTAAACTGTACCTGATAACACTAAATAGACTGAGTGGAGAAAAAAAATGCTTTGATGATGAGTACTTTACACAAACAAACGAGAAGGAGCGTGGGCGATTCAAACGAGACCAGTTTAAAAAAAGAAAAAAGAAATTTAAAATAGTGATCTGTCCTTAGTCCAACACTTCTGGCACTCTCACAAAAACTGTTAAACTGCATTCAAATAAAGCTCCCCCCAGAAAAAACCCCTCATCATATCCAAGCAGCTCTGTAACAGCAATAGGTAAAATGATCTAATTACTCGCTTTCCTTTATGTACAGTCAATACTCATTCTTGAATTTATCAAGTTTTATCTCACATTTTATGCACATCATTTAATTTCTCATCACGCTCGGCATTGACGAAGCAACAACGCTGTCTGCTGTCTTTTTCTTGCTGAATGCTTCCTCAGCCTTCACCTTTTCCAAAAATCTCACAACACATAAAGGTCAAAGCTCATCAAGACTTAGGTCAGATCCCAAATCTGCATTCACATCATCTTCAAGATCATCATCACCATCATTATCATCGTTGTCATCACCATCCACATCTGATCCAGGACCAGCAAAGTCACTCCGCCTGGACTGAATACTCAGACGTGCTCTGGGCTTCTGATGAAGAGCTGGCAGACATAAGGAGCAAAGAAGAGCGGTTAATTTTGTGTACGCGAGTACCTCATTGCTGTGGTACCATCTGGGATTGGGTTGGAAAAGATTCAAATGTTTTCCCTTAACTATGCACTGGCATGAGTGCATGTGCAAGTGTGTGCGGATACAATTGTCAAATTATCCTGGCTTCGTGGTCCCAAATCACTCTGGGAAACATTTAGAGCAGTGATGGTAATCTCTTCCGGGAACGTCAACCCTCTGTTACAGTAAGTCTCAGGGCGAGCTCACACAGGCACACAGAGTACTAAATTTCCCAGAGAAATGACCGGCTTTGCAGAGACCGTTGGAGAGGAAATGAGAGCTTTAGTGTTTTTTCTGCAGACGGAAGAACACAGAAGGACACCAGCCTGCTGACAGTGACATGCTACACTCACTATCACCAGCAAATTATATAATCCTGTATATTTTATATCTAATTTCAATTTTTTTAAAACTACTGTTTTTTTGTGTGCAACTCTTCACTGGTCATGGTTCATGTAAGATGAAGTTACAAAAGGATATGGTTAGCTTAGCATAAAGACCGTTAATGAGGTGACTACAAGCTTTGTTGTATCTCAATAACACATTTTTCCTTTAACATTAACATGCTTACAGTTAATCCCTACAAAATCATCTACCAATATCAACTACCTGTAGTTTTACAATACATCAAACTAGATTGTAAAATAACAATGAAATATCATCTTCAAGATCTTGGCAGAACTCATCTCTAGCAAATCCTCTGAGAGTAGAAGAGCAAGGATATTCTCCAGGACAGACACTGTAGTGATATTAAGGTTTTCTTTTAACTCTTAGAAAGAAACCTAAAAGCATATTTCATTTCCTGACATGTCAATCTATTACTTTAAAGTCCTTTTCAGGCATGGTCCAACTTCAATTCCAAAAAAGTTGGCACACTGTGCTATATGTAAAGAAAAACAGATCAATGATTTACAAATCTCATAAACACATATTTTATTTACAATAGAACATAAAAAACATATCACATGTTTAAAACTTTGATATTTTCCGTTAAAAATATTAGCTAATTTTGAATTTGATGGTAGAAATACATGTGAAAAATGTTGGGACACGGGCAAGAAAGGGGGGGGGGGGTGTATGGACTAAAAAAGAAATAAGAGGTAAATTTTATAACTAGTTAGGTTAACTGGCAACAGGTCAGTAATATTAGGGGCAATCGTGGCTCAAGAGTTGGGAGTTCGCCTTGTAATCGGAAGGTTGCCGGTTCGAGCCCTCGGTCGTTGTGTCCTTGGGCAAGACACTTCACCCGTTGCCTACTGGTGGTGGTCAGAGGGCCCGGTGGCGCCAGTGTCCGGCAGCCTCGCCTCTGTCAGTGCGCCCAGGGTGGCTGTGGCTACAATGTAGCTGCCATCACCAGTGTGTGAATGTGTGGATGACTGGTTGTGTAAAGCGCTTTGGGTCCTTAGGGGCTAGAAAAATGCTATACAAATACAGGCCATTTACCATTATCATATAAAAGAGCATCTTAGATGGTCAGTTTCTCAGGAGTAAAGATCGACAAAAAAAAACTGTCTACAAATTATGAAACAATTTAATATTCCTCAATGTAAAATATCAAGGACTGCCTCATCTACAGTACACAATATTATCAACAGAATCTGGAGAAAACTTTGTGCGCATGGAAAAAGGCAGAAAATCAATATTGAAAGTCCATGATCTATGGGCTCTCAGCTGGCACTGAATTAAAATGGG